TGGCATCTTAGCGTCGCGCCCAAACACTCACTTGTTTGAAAAATCTAGTTTCTATGCGATATTTTCTTTTTTGGGTATCGCTAATTATTCGCACGTCTGCGTTTTGCGGAACGATCGCCTTCGAAGAGCAAGTTATAAGATGCAAAAATTTGTGCAGGATCCGCAAACCTTAGTGTATTGCTTGAATTTCAAAACGGTTATGCAATCAATAACAACTGTAGCAAATAGAACAACGATTTCGTAATTAGCGACGTAGTAAAAAATCTTGCCGCAAGGAGTATCAGCAAATATCCAAGTCCATTTTGTGCTATCAAAATATATATAGCAAGAAGCTCCTGACAGTAAAGTTAAGTAGACTTCGAGCGGAATCGCGACAAACTCACTCCAAAAATACGGAACGGTATGCAGAAAACCGAGGCTCCACACTAAAAATACCACGAAAATTGCCATTTGCTTTGTAAGCAGTTGAAGCTGCATTGCTTTGACTGGCAAAGCAACGGCGACCAAGCGATTGATGGAGATGGCCAGATGTGAATAAGCGGTTGCATACCAGAAAATCCCAATCACTTGCCCAACAATCTTACTAATTGACAAGAGGGAATCTGCCTCTAGCCTATACAAAAAATTCACAACTTTCTTATAATATGTCTAGTTCCAAACATGCCTAAGCAGTGTGATTGATGCCCATGGTAGATACAGAAGCAGTGACCCTATACTGGCCGTGATATGGGAATAACACAATACACTGAAAGCATGCTGTCGCATTGCATTGTACCGTACAGAAACAGCTGCAAAAGTATTTGAGACCAGTCCGAATGCGCTGATCTGGAAGTACTCGATCTTCAGAACGAACACCGATTTTGAGCAATTGTGAATGTTTACCAAAATTCATCAAATGAGGTATCTTTTTGGATTAGGCAAAGTTTTTCGGATTGTATGAAATCCTAGCTATATGTTCGCATTTTATAAGTGAGCAACGCAGAACTATTTGCCTAAGAGGGCTTCGGGCGCTTTCGTGCGCTACTGAAAATTTTTTCGAAGCGTTCAACATAGTTGTGAACATCGACAATCTTAACTGTTTTTTGATACAGCATGTAGTAGCAGTGGTCTTTGCAGTGCATTTGTACATGGACAAGCACAAGTTTATAATTTGTGATGAAACAGAGTTGTAAATTGCAACGTTTGTTAGCCGAATTATATGAGGTTGCGTAGATCTACTTTTTTGAGAACTTTTTTCTGCAAGGTATCCCAAAGCCAAGACAACTTCTATGCAGTAATTTTCCGGCAAGACTCTGTGAAATATTAGGTTCTAACATAAGTCCTGTTACACTTTCAATTCTTAAGAATTTTATTGAGCGGATACACGCATACGCACGCTTTTGCATACCCTTCGACCAGTGGCGGTCCTAGAATTTCCGTGC